AACCAATCTTTAAAATGGTAACAATGAAAGAATATTAAATAGCATATCACAAATTACTTTGCAAAGAAAAATGTAATTAAAGTTGAGAGAAGAGAGAGAAATTTTGATTCCTTTTTTACAGGGATGGAATAAACTATATAAGCCTAGAGGACTTATAATTTAACCTATTTGAGTCCGACTTAGCCTATTTTATTTAATAAAAAAAATTAAGTTTAAAATTTTTTAAAAATCTATTTAATTAAATAGATCAATTAAACTATTAAAAAATCTATAAAATCTTATAGATCGGTCTTAATACTCTCTTTAATATTATCATTTTTAATTTCAATTCATCTAATTTTAACACATCTAACTCAATATCTTTGTCTCTTCTACGCTTAGTTTATTTTCATGGTACTCTTTACTGCTCAATATTTTATCTAAAATATTGTCGGTCTTACAACTATCCAATAATACCATAACACTAATAACAACAATAACTAAGTCTTATCCCACTCAACGAGTGAGATTATATATATGGATCAAATAACACAATAATGTTCTATTTAATATCATGTTTCAATAATGTTCTATTTAATATCATGTTTCTATCTAATTTATTAATCTAAATTTTTTTTTAATAATTCTTTTAAAGTTTTACTAGGTATTCATCTACCTCTAATTGTTTGATTCGTCTCGATATAATCTACAAATCTTTTATATACATACTTAAACGACTTTAATTTATTTTTATTATCTTCTTAGAGGTGTACATGAGACGGTTTAGATTTAACCTAGGCAAAAGCAAGACACAACCCATACAGAATACATTGATTTGGGTCAGCTAAAATAACCACTCACGACATCATTGGATCGGTTTGGATAGTGGATTGGGTTAGAGAGTGGATTACCCAATTTTTTTTTTCTTCCTTATATAATATAAATGATTTGTCACATTTTTAATAAATAATGTAACCTATTACCGCTACTTTTTTAAGTATCAAATTTTTTTAAAATTCATTATAAACATATTTTTCAAAATCAATGTTATAATACGGTAATACCTAAAATTATGTAAAATACTTGAACTTATTTGCAAAGTTTAACATCCTAAATAAGTTAAAATCATTATTTGCAAAATAAAATATATTAAAAAAAATTTAATCAAAACAACCAAGATTAAAGACATCAAAGTCATCACTCATCAAATTATTAAAAAGAGCCAAAAATAATCATTCAATAACTCATGAATTTTCTGGGTTAGGTGTCGATTTACTCATAACCTAATTATTGTAAATGATTTTTCATTGTTGAAAACTCTGTTCATCCAATAACCCTACCCAACCCATTTTTTGAGTTTGTTTGTGTTAGTTTTACTGATTTTATTGAATTTACCCTACTTATATACATCCTAATTTTTTCTACTATAGATGGTATCCTCATTTTCTCTAATAGTTTCATTTTTAATCTTTATGAATTTAAACTAAAAAACAGAAGAGTTCATTTTGTATCTGCACAAACAAGTTCAATGAGATTTTAGTTTTCATACAAACCTTAAGAGTACGTTGGATGAGGAAGTATACCAAGGAAAAAAAACGCTCGCCTCTCTTTTAAGAGATGATGTGGTTACCTAATAGTAAGAAAACATTACTCTTTTATCCCAAATAAAATAAATTAAACTATGATAAAAACAAGGAAAAAGATAAATTATAAGCATATAATTTAATAATTGTGATAAAACATTAGTCTTTTACCCCAAAATAAATAAATTATGCTATAATATAAACTTAAAAAAAGATAAAATTATATGCGTGCATAATTTAATTATTGAATTCAAAATAATAAATATTATTTTATATTATTTTATGTGAGTTTAGTTCATCAATTTTTTTGACTTAATTAAAGAGAGATAAATTAAGTAGGGGTGGTAAAATAGATTGGATCTGCCGGACCAACTTGTTTGATCCATTATTTTTGGTAGAAGTTTTCGGCTCGGTATCTTAAGTTGATCCGTCTCGTCTAACCCACTTTAAAAAGCGGCTTAGGCAGGACGGATTTTGCCCGCGGACTTTTTGTTACAACTTTTTATTTTTTACTTAGAATTAAGACAACTTTAACTAAAAAAACAACAATATTATCTTTAAGTTATGGCGATTGAATTACATTCTAAATTATTATACACACAAATTAAATTATAATTATAAGATTCTTTATATAACTTTCTAATACATGTATTGATTGGAAAAACTTGAAATACAAGAACAATTTTATGACATGAAGAATTATTAAGTTGTCAATACATTAGCTCACATGTTTTCTTTAGAAACAAATATTAATTTTAAGAAAAAGAAGAATTCAATTAGAGTATATGTGTGACAAATTTAAGATATAACCATTAAGGAATCAGTCAATATAATAGTCTATATGACGTAAACAATGAGAAATGAGAAAGTCATTATTTTATTCACCGTAATGTTATCGTTGTTTGTCTTGTGCAAATTATTAATTGGATTCTTTTAGTAATTAGTTTTTAAATAGGATTATGATGATATGAGTCTATTTCGGTTTGTTTTTCTTGGATTTAAGATATGTTGAAGTTATATTATGCATTGTTAAAAAAAATATAGGCCCGCCAACTCGTTAGTAAACAGGACGAGCTTGACTTTTGAGCTTGAATGCCTAAGTTCGTCCGCCCCGCTTCTTCCCACTTCCACTTTTTTACGGGCTTAAACGGAGCGGAGCTAAACAAGACGGGCCACCCACTTTGTCATCCCTAGAACCAAACAATTGGACTCTACTAATAAAAGAATTTCTGTTAAAGACGACATTCGAAGACATTCGAGAAATACCGAATTTGATTTCTCGTAGATAACAATGTTTTGTCAGTGTTCGTACATCGGTTCACGAGCTCTGAATTAATATGACTCATTCTCCTAAAAACCAAATAAATAAATGAATAAAAACTTGGGTCTTAAGAATGAACTCCTCTTAAGTTCTCAGATTCGAAATAGTAATAATTCTTGTGTTGAATCAATTTTTATGAAATCCTCAAAAATAAACCATAAAATTAATCCTCTTAAATTAGTCGGTCAAATTGTCTTATATCAAATTTTAAAATAAACAAAGAATAGAGGTTGAAAACGTCTTTAAAAAAAAACAAAACAAAAACGTCTTTCATAAAAATAAATATGGAATCCTATTTTTAGAACATAAATTACACACCTTCATTTCCTTTTAACTCTTTTTTATTTTCAAAATTTATTTGTTCCCTGGTCTCTTTAGATTTCTCTGTAAATTTTGGTTTAATTTTTTGTCATATATAGAGAAGTAGAAAAAAGTTGAGAAAAATATTCATATAGCTATACTTTATTTACCAAAATTTTGGGCTATGTTTATATAGTATTTGATAGAATGAAATTGTAATTAATACATTGTTTAGATTTACATGGAGTGAGATGGACCATAATAAAATTTATTCTATCCAAATCTTTTTCCAATTTTTTTTTTAATTTTAACTAAACAATGAACTGAAATCTTAGTTAGTTCATTTTATTCTGATTCATTCCATTAAATTTCATTTAATTACTCAATGTTCTATTCCATCAATTCAAAAATAATTTTGGACTATGTAAAATGTAATAGAATGGAATGAGACAGAATGAAATAAAAATATCATTTTATTGTTTAAATATTTTACAATAGAATAAAACAATTTTATCATTCCATCCAAATTTAATGGAATACAAAATATTGGAAAGTGATGAATCAGCTTCTATTCATTCCTTTTATTCTTAATTAATTCAAATAATATAACATTATTTTTTGGTTTTTATCAAAGGTATTGTCCGGTTTAGGGTTAGTTCTGATATTAAATGAGTTTGGAATTAATTATTAGGGGTGTTCGTGGTTCGGTTTGAATCGGTTTTAAAGTAAAAACTCATCCGATCCAAAGATTAATTCACTTAAGGTTCGGTTCGGTTTTGGATGATATATTTAAAAAAATCCAATCTGATCCGATCCAATTTTATACGATTTAATTTGAATCAGTTTTTGGAATTACACATTATATTTTTATTAATATTATAAAACTACTAATAAATCATAGATTTGATATAATATATAACATATAGTATATTAAAAGTTAATATTACAAAATGAGAGTGATTGATTATGCTTGAAATAATAAAAATAAATAGATTATATCAAACTAATAAATATTATTAAAAAAATTATTATCATCTAATAATAAATTCACATAACATGTCATACTAATAAAAAGTAAATAAGTATCAAAATATATTTATGCGGTTCGATTTGGTTTGGATCGGTTTTGAAAAATTCATCCGAAATTCAATCCAAAAATAACATCCGAAATTCATCCGAAATTTCATAAAATAACATCCAAACACAATCAATAACTTTCGGTTTTTATGGTTTTTTGAATCGATTTTCGTTTTTTATTTGGATTGGTTTGTATTTGAACACCCCTATTAATTATGATATTAAGTGATTTTAATCTCTCTCAACCAGTGTTAAGATTGAACCTCAATCGTGATCTTTATTATTAAATTCAAATTAAACTTCAATAATCATTGGACCAACTAACGATTAATTTAATTTTCTTATATTTGTTTAAATGGGTTTTCTATAATTTAATTTTAGGGTTTATTTTACATTTAGGGATTTCTATTTAGACTAAAATTTTATAATTGATGGATGAATTTTGAGTAAGAAAAGATTCAAAAGCAGTTATTGTTAATTATAATAATTGAAAAATTAAAAACTTAATATGAACAAGAAATCATTGAGATCAAAATCATGCCTCAAATATAAATATATAAATTACAGTTAAGCTTGTTTTTTTGCATATGGTTTAGATTCATCGATACATAAGAAAGAAAAGATAACCAAGCAACATATAGAGTAGAAAATACAGACAATTGAAAAAATAACATAAAAGTATTGCTAATGAACAAAGCAGAAGATGCAAACTGAAACAGTAAGAAAGAAAAATGACTCACCGCAAATCAAGAAGGAGCCACACATAACCTATGAAGCTGATAACGATGGATGAACCGTTTGCTTTTGCTCCTTCAACCAACAAAACATGAATTTGGGGATAATTGAATTAGGGTATAATTGGTACTTTTATATTGATTTTAATGGGCCTCAACAATAAGCCCAATAACAAAAAAAGTCCAAAAAAATATAAAGAAAGGAAAATGTTTTTTCTACCTTTATAAGTTCTGCTGCACCGTTATAAAAAATTCATAATATTTCAAATATTCAGTGATACATTTTCATTTTCAAACACATATATTTCATAATTTCTTAAATGAATTTGAAGAAATCTATTTTTTTATGTTAAAATTTAATTTAGAGATATATATTTATATGTATTAAAAGTGTGTTCGAAAATGTATATTCGTAAACATTATTGTTTAAACATGTCAATATTATAATATAGGATGATGAATTTGAAAAAGTTTTTTAAGTCTCACATTATGTTATAGTTGGAAAAAAAAATTTAATACATTGCTTAAAATAAGGAATCTTGACTAATCACTTTCATTATATAAGAAAATCACTTTCATTATATAAGAAAATTATTTGTTTCATTCCAAAACATACCAAAAAAAAAACTTATTTTGAACTTTCCTTTCTCACTTTTTCCCTTTCTTTTTACTTGTTTCATTTTTTGAGTACTTTCTTGAATTCTCTTTAGAGAATTATGATAATTTTTTCTTGTTTGAGTTGACAAATTATCAAGTATAATTTTTGGATTCTTCTTAGAGAATTATTCAAATTTATCTTTTTTTGAGAAATCATTTTGAGTGATTAAATGATCATTATTAAATTCTATTTGAGAATTATTGGAATTTCTCTTGATTTGAGAAGTTATTACGATCGGTCTTTATACCCGATACTACAACTAATATTTATATCATATTCGAATGATCTTTGTGTCATAAGAAGGTGTATTTCTAGACCAATTATCTACCGTGCAAGTAGTAATCGCACAATACAGAACTTGATTGTTTTATCCTAAAGGCGTTGTGGTAGTTGTTTTGCATATTTTTGGACAGTGTCGTGAAACGTCTTAAAAATAAGAACTGTTCCGCATCTCATCCTGGTAACTTCTTCTGTCGTTGTTTTCAAAGATCCAAAATCAACTATATCAACAATTTTAAGACGCTCGAAAAACTGCCATGGCTACCGAAGAAGTTATTGGTAATTATGTCGCTGATGTCTTTGACAAACCATTTAAGTTTGAGGATTCTCACTTTAAACATTAGCAAGCTAAGATGACATTTCTCTTAATCTTAAAGAAGGTTACCCATGTGTTGCCTGAGGACATTCCTGTTATTCATTATGAATCAATCGAACAAACTAATGGTAACAAAAATGTGAATTTAGACGGAACTGTTAACTCATCTAAATCACACGTTGGTGCAAAAGCTAAAGCCGAAACTGATTATTTATAGCTCAAAAAGGAAATATCCATCTGGGAAGATAATGATTATCTTTTCAAAAACCACATTCTGAAAAGTCTCACTGACGATCTATACGATTACTACAGTAACTACGAGACTACTAAACGGGTATGGGAAGCTCTGTGAAAGAAATGTGATACTGAAGAAGCTAGAACAAATAAGTATGTTGTAAGTCGCTACTTAAAGTATCAGATGGTAGATGAAAGATCTGTGGAAGCATGATGCCACAAATTCAGAAGATTGCACATGATAAAAGTACAAATGGTATGCCCCTCGATGAGTAATTTCAAATTGTTGTTATCATTGACAAACTGCCCCCTGGTTAGAAAAATTTCAAAAACTTTCTTTGCCACAAAACAAAATAGTTTTCAATCGAGAGTCTGATTACTCGCCTCCAAATTGAAGAGGAAACTCGAAAACAAGATCAGAAAGATGAAGTCTTTGTTATTTCAAACAACGAAAATTAATTTGGTGTTATTCTAAAGCCTACAAGCAAACCATTAAAGAATCAAAACTGCAATATTATGAACCGAATAAAGAATGGGAATCCCTTTAGGGCCCCATCTTCTCTGATTTCTAGGAAGCAACAACCCCCTCAAAGAAATAACGCTCTGACGTTCATCTGTTTTAATTATGGAAAGCCATGTCATTTGGCTAAGAGATGTAAGAGCAGACCTAAACTTGTTGCTGGCTCTAATGCATAATTTAACCTGACTAATGAGAAATTTATTGATATTATCACTAAAGTGAACATGGTTGGGGGAAGTGGAGGTTGGTGGATAGACACGGGTGCCTCTCTTCATGTCTGTTATAGCCGTGTTATGTTCAAAACATTGACCAATGTTGAAGACAAGAAAGTATTGTTGGGAGGTTCTCACACCACTAATGTTGTTGGAATTAGAGATGTGGAGTTGAATTTCACCTTCGGAAAGACTTTAATCTTGAATGGCGTCATGCATGTTCATGAAATTAGGAAAAATCTTGCTTTTGGTTTTCTTTTAAATAAGGCATGATTTAGTCAGTCTATTGGGGCAGATTTGTACATCATCACTAAGAATGGTATTTTTCTTGGGAAAAGGCACACTATTTATGACATGTTTAAGTTGAATGTTGATTTGAATAAAATTTCTCCTTTTGTTACTCTTTGTGTGATTTTAATGATTGGCATGCTAGAATTTGTCATGTAAATAAGTGAATTATCTATAATCTAATCAACATAGGCTTAATCCCAAAATTGAATGTTAATGATTTAGAAAAATGTGAATATTGTAGTCAAGCTAAAATAACTAAGACTTCACATAAATTAGTAATTAAAGAATCGAATCCCCTATATCTTATAGACTCTGATATATGTGAATTATATGGAACTCTAAATAGAAATAGTAAACATTATTTTATCACTTTTATTGACGATTGTTCTGATTATACTTTTGTATACTTAATGAAGAACAAAAGTGAAACGCTTGACATGTTTAATATGTGTCGTACCCCAAATTTGTCCTACCTCGACGATCGTATTTTCAAGATTAAAATAATAAAGAAACATTTAATTAAGGATGGTATAGCAATATCTGATGGCCCATTCTTAAAATTTAAGTCAACCGGGGGTGTACTTTAATCCAGGAGAGTGGGGCTTTCTAAATCAGAAAGACTCATAAATTCGTTCACGAAGCATGTTGGCCAATGACTCATACAATTTGAAAATAAAAAAATCACCTAAGTAATTAATAAATTATTAATTTATTAAAACTACTTAGGTTTAATTTGCTAGTAAATTAAGTTATTAAGTCTGTTAGGATTTATTGTTGTTAGTAAAAATAGGAGGTGAGATTGGAATTAGGGCCCATTTCCATTTTTGTTATTGGTAAAGAGGGGGTATGTTTATCAATTTATAAGCCCATTAGAATTTGCCTCATTTCTTTTAAATAACAAACAGCAAAAGGGGGTATAGTTAATAATTTATCAGGTCCATTAAATGGTTTTTTAGGACAACCCGTTTACTACTTTGTTGTTTTAAGAAATTATTAAAACTGCTAATAAAAATATATATAAAGTGTTGTTATTATTGTTAGCTTCTTATTTATAATCGTTCACTTTTATGATTAAACAACATATTATTAAATATTGTTTATAATTTGTATTCTTTAAAAAAAGTTTGTTTAAAACAGCATTGGGTTAGAAGCACTTGGGCCTAGTGATATTAAAGAGTTTTTTGTTTGCTGTATTGGAAAATATGTCGTTGGGCTGAACAAAAGGAAATAACAAGCTAAGGCCTAATTCCATAGAATTAGTGCAGGCCCAATTTTCTGAATATTTGTGCGGGCCCAAAGAAAAAGCACAAACAACAATTGTGCAGATTGAACCAGGAATTACGCTTGCGTATCAGTAAGCAATCACTGTCAAAATCAAACCTCAAAAACTAAACAAAATCAAATCTCCAATAAACCAAATCTGCAAATTGATGCAAAATCCAGAAAATCAGTAATTAAACTAAATCAAATCTTACATAATTGAATCTATTACATAATCATTAACATACAATCAAATCAATTACAATATATTTCAATCCCTACTTCCTAAATAATACCCATAAATCTATGCTAACACCAATTCGGAAAAAGCTAATTTCTAAAACCTAAACACAAAAGCACTATAAATACAGAAGAGTAACAACAATACCAGGGGTGGCCGGAAATTGATCGAGAATACAGAGAAGGCAGGGGAATACAGTAGAGAAAAAGGGGGACGGAAGAAAAAGAATAGAAAGGGGGATCGCGGAGGAGAAGACAGAAACGAAGAACACAAAAAGATATACCGAAGAACTCGAAGAACTAGTGTCGTCATTGAAGAAGAGAAGGACGATTAAGGTTTCATTATCTAAAAGCACAATCGTCATTCCTATCACCGCCGTTGCCGTTAACCCATCTTCGACCAACACCAGCAACCTACGAAATCAAAGAAGAAGAAGGGTCAGTGGATCAGACACTTGATGAACGCAGAAGATAGAAACGCGTAAGGGGTAATACTTAGCTTTTCGTTTTCTTTTTGGGTTGTTCAGTAGGGGTTTGTTTAGGGGAGCCGCTGTCGCGGTGAGGGTAATGAAATAGGGTTAGGGATGAAGAGTTAGGGTTAAGAAGAAGAAGAAAGGAGTTTGTGTTTAATGAGAGAGAGAAAGGACTGTAAACAGTAACAAGAACAAAAGTGAAGAGTTAACAAAAGGTTGTAATCTGTTTCAATACCTGTGCATTGGCATACTGTAATTATCATGCTCATTCTCTATCGTCCATTGGATTGTAATCTGACAGCCGCAGGCCAAGTCATACGGTAACTAGTATGTACCTCGCCTCACCCAATCTCATCGGCCCTCTCCATTCTGTACTGGGGCTAGCCCACATGCTCTTCGCACCCCCAGTTGTTGGTTTATTAAACCACCCATTATTTTGCACCCCCTAGCCAATAAGGCTTAAATTGAATCCAGGCCCTAATATTAACACCCCCTATTTTTGCTTATCAACTAATAATACACCCCCCTGAGTTTAATTAAATTATATT